TAGTTGTACAGATAAGATACAGGGTATGACCATGTAGCTGTACTGAAGTGTATTATTTGTAGTTGTACAGATAAGATACAGGGTATGACCATGTAGCTGTACTGAAGTGTATTATTTGTAGTTGTACAGATAAGATACAGGGTATGACCATGTAGCTGTACTGAAGTGTATTATTTGTAGTTGTACAGATAAGATACAGGGTATGACCATGTAGCTGTACTGAAGTGTATTATTTGTAGTTGTACAGATAAGATACAGGGTATGACCATGTAGCTGTACTGAAGTGTATTATTTGTAGTTGTACAGATAAGATACAGGGTATGACCATGTAGCTGTACTGAAGTGTATTATTTGTAGTTGTACAGATAAGATACAGGGTATGACCATGTAGCTGTACTGAAGTGTATTATTTGTAGTTGTACAGATAAGATACAGGGTATGACCATGTAGCTGTACTGAAGTGTATTATTTGTAGTTGTACAGATAAGATACAGGGTATGACCATGTAGCTGTACTGAAGTGTATTATTTGTAGTTGTACAGATAAGATACAGGGTATGACCATGTAGCTGTACTGAAGTGTATTATTTGTAGTTGTACAGATAAGATACAGGGTATGACCATGTAGCTGTACTGAAGTGTATTATTTGTAGTTGTACAGATAAGATACAGGGTATGACCATGTAGCTGTACTGAAGTGTATTATTCGTAGTTGTACAGATAAGATACAGGGTATGACCATGTAGCTGTACTGAAGTGTATTATTCGTAGTTGTACAGATAAGATACAGGGTATGACCATGTAGCTGTACTGAAGTGTATTATTCGTAGTTGTACAGATAAGATAAGGGTATGACCATATAGCTGTACTTAAGTGTATTATTCGTAGTTATACAGATAAGATGTAGAGTAATACCATGTAGCTGTACTGAAGTGTATTATTCGTAGCTGTATAGATAAGATACAGGGTATGACCATGTAGCTGTACCACAGTGAATTATTCGTAGTTGTGCAGAGAAGATACAGGGTATGACCATGTAGCTGTACTGAAGTGTATTATTTTTAGTTGTACAGATAAGATACAGGGTATGACCATGTAGCTGTACCGCAGTGTATTATTCGTAGTTGTATAGATAAGATACAGGGTATGACCATGTAGCTGTACTGCAGTGTATTATTTTTAGTTGTACAGATAAGATGCAGGGTATGACCATGTAGCTGTACCGCAGTGTATTATTCGTAGTTGTATAGATAAGATACAGGGTATGACCATGTAACCGTACTGAAGTGTATTATTTGTAGTTATACAGATAAGATACAGGGTATGACCATGTAGCTGTACCGAAGTGTATTATTTTTAGTTGTACAGATAAGTTACAGGGTATGACCATGTAGCTGTACTGAAGGGTATTATTTTTAGTTGTACAGATAAGATACAGGGTATGACCATGTAGCTGTACTGAAGTGTATTATTTGTAGTTATACAGATACGATACAGGGTATGACTATATAGCTGTACTGAAGTGTATTATTTGTAGTTATACAGATACGATACAGGGGATGACCATGTAGCTGTACTGAAGTGTATTATTCGTAGTTGTACAGATAAGATACAGGGTATGACCATATAGCTGTACTGAAGTGTATTATTCGTAGTTGTATAGATAAGATATTGGGTATGACCATATAGCTGTACTGAAGTGTATTATTCGTAGCTGTATAGATAAGATACAGGGTATGACCATGTAGCTGTACTAAAGTGTATTATTTGTAGTTATACAGATACGATACAGGGTATGACCATGTAGCTGTACTGAAGTGTATTATTTGTAGTTATACAGATACGATACAGGGTATGACCATATAGCTGTACTGAAGTGTATTATTCGTAGCTGTATAGATAAGATACAGGGTATGACCATATAGCTGTACTGAAGTGTATTATTCGTAGTTGTACAGATAAGATACAGGGTATGACCATGTAGCTGTACTGAAGTGTATTATTCGTAGTTGTATAGATAAGATATAGGGTATGACCATGAAGCTGTACTGAAGTGTATTATTCGTAGTTGTACAGATAAGATACCGGGTATGACCATGTAGCTGTACTGAAATGTATTATTCGTAGTTGTGCAGAGAAGATATAGGTTATGACCATGTAGCTGTACTGAAGTGTATTATTCGTAGTTGTGCAGAGAAGATATTGGGTATGACCATGTAGCTGTACTGAAGTGTATTATTCGTAGTTGTACAGACACGATACAGGGTATGGTCGAATTGTAGTCGAAATGTATGATTTGAAGTGTAGTCATGTATATGTAATATTGTAGTGAATTATTTTAATTGCAAACTTTTATATTTTTTATGAAGCGGTGTATTGTTATTTAGCAGCAGAATTACAATAATCCCCCACCCCAAAAATAAAGGCGAAAAAGCCTTTTCAAACAACATCTTTTGAGAACGCACTCAAAAATACAACCGTTTTAAAAATGTATGAATGCCCTTTGTAACAATAAGTATGTGTCTGTCATTTTGAGTACAGATAATTCTGTCTTAACCGGACGCCACTTTTACCATATATTGTTTGGCCGGTTTTGGAGAGTTCCTGATGTTTAGGAGTCTGCTGTAAAACATTTTGCTGAACGTAACGAGAGCTTAAATGCGAATGTTTTGTTTATACTTGTATAACCTTTGGACTCATGGTAACTATTTTACAATATTTCTCTAATTTAGCGATTTCACTAATAAACTTGCTTTTATCTTCACCAATATGAGCTGAACAATTATCTTGTACAACCTTTTACGTGTCTCTTGAACAAAGGCCAAGTACATCGTCTACAGTAAAAAAACGTGCATTTTGTAAGACAATAAACATAAAATCATGTTGGCATTGCCTTAATCACATACATCAACCAATGTCTACGCCTGCATGCTCTGAGGTCGGCAGTGTGTTTGTATCGGTTACATTAATATACCGAGCTAATAAATGCAATACTCTTAGTACTTCAACATCTACAACCCTAAGGTCATAAAAGCGAACAATACAAATTATAGGGGGGAGTCAGACTTGTATACTTGTGCTATATTTACTGTATTACTGTTGTGCCTATGAGTCGTATGGCTCTCGGCTAATAAAGAATGTGAATCTAAATCTGAATCTGAACCATATGTTGTCAGTAATTAAATTGTTACATTAATTAGCGTCAGGCACCGCGTCGGTAGCTCCACCGTAAAGACTTGCTGCGGAATCATCGCTAAATTAACCTAGTAATGGAAATAGAAAACAGATGTTCTGCTGCAGATATGTAAGACTTTATTGTGTGGGACCTGTAAACAAATTGAGGAACGAAAGTTGATGTTTCCTTCAACCAACCGTCAGATGTTACACTATGGCACTATGTCTTTTAAACAAACTGTAAAAAATACATTAGGTCCGAAAAATCCCAACTCCATTATATTTCAAATCAGATACGATCAAATATATTTTAACGAAATAGCGTTCCAATATGGCATAAGGTCCAAAATAATCCTTTAATACAAACTGAAATCTAACTACATTATATTTAATGTTAGGTACGACTTAACATTTTTTAACGGAACACAATTACAATATGGCGCAAGGTTCAAAAAAGTTTCTTTATACAAACTGTAAAATAATGTTACAATTACAATATGGCATAAGGTCCCAAATCGTCTCTTTATACAAACTGTTAACTGACTACATCATATTTAATATAAGGTAGATTAAACATGTGTTAACAGAAAACGGTTAAAATATGGCGTAAGGTCTAAAATAGTCTCTTTATACAAGCTGTAAACTGACTACATCATATTTAATATAAGGTAGATTAAACATGTGTTAACAGAATACGGTTAAAATATGGCGTAAGGTCTAAAATAGTCTCTTTATACAAGCTGTAAACTGACTACATCATATTTAATATAAGGTAGATTAAACATGTGTTAACAGAATACGGTTACAATATGGCGTAAGATCCAACAATAATGTCTTTAAACAAGCTGTTGGAAGACAATGTGACATACGCGTATATACATCTGTATGTAGTATATGATAGAGTCTGGTCCTAAGTATAGTGTGTTTACATAGATCGTGTGATCTTATCAGCACGGGATGCCGTAGCTGATACATTCGATCAATCAGAGTGAGGGACATTAAACCCGAGACAGACTTATTGTGTTGTAAATGACTACCCTGTCGGAACGAATCATGTGGAATTCTTTATTAAACAATTCAAAAACAATACCGAACACTTACATATTGACAGGCGTAGAAGTACATTCTGTATATATGAAGCCAAGCCTTCTGTATTGTTGTGATATTTTGGGTTTTGAGTTTGTTGTGCTGGGAGCATTTCCAATATAATGAATCACACAACAATAAAGAAAATAAAAAACACGTGTATCCCTGTAATTTATTCACCCATTCACCCCTTAAGTCACGATTGAACCTTACCAAATCAAAGAGTGGACAGGTCCACTTTAGAAAAATGTAGGGGTTCATGAGTTAATTGCATTTAATAATAAATATTATCCTTTTTTTTTTAAGCCGTCCTTTTTTTTAAGGTTTTTTATAATGTACAATCCAAAAGAATTGAAGACTGCAAATATATAAGGTGTATTGGTTACGTTATTTTTCAGTATTATTGAATCTGAATCTATGAAACGGTGTAGAATTTATAATTGTTTTTGAAATAGAACGTATCAGAAAAAATAACAATTGAAATATATTGTAATTGTACTGTTGATTGCATAATGTGTATACATCACAATTGTTATATACATAAATATATTTCATTGATCAAATTTGAATAAGGCTATTAAATTATATCAGCCACATTTTTTTACAAAATTAAATTTGTTATTCGTCCTTTACAAATATAATGACGACAGAACGTCGTTTACAAATGTGCGAACTCAGTACCCATGCGCGGACATTAAGCACAGAATAAAGATGGGTATGACCTTACACCTACTACAGATCCACTGACGTAGAAAGATAGTATCAGTCTGGTGTAGATCAGTCAAACAGACAGGCCAGAGTTGTGTGCCGTGGACTTAACGTACGCATACTCCAACCCCCAAGGTATGTTCTTATTAACGAAAACTCATTAGCCTATAAATAGAATGCTGCTCTTAATAGCTGGTTGTGTTAGTCATTGTAACTAATGGTGTAGCCGATGAATAAGTCATCGTATTGTAATGGTTAATATCAGTGCAGGTAGCGACGGCTTTGGTATATTTATAAATCAGTGTTATCGAGTACGTTTCATTGTAGGATAGGGATGAGAACGGTCTTTGGATAGACAAATAATGTATCGTATTTTTATTGAAGAATAGCGTCGATGAATATATGTCAGCAGGCCTGCAAAACGCCCATGAAATGTTAAACTGGAATCGGATATTGCCGCATTCAGTCCAATTACAGTGTTTATTATGTTGCGTCCACGTACAATGTATATATACATCTATTAATACCGTTCTCCTTGTTCATGTCCAAGGGTATCGGTGTGAAGCTTATATTTTGTTCAAATTTTGCCATAGTTAAATCGATTTTGAGTTTGATTACAGTATTTGTGTATAATCGGTATTCCTTCTTTTTCTGTTTTCATTTAGCTGCACCGGGGCGTTCTTAAATGTAGTACAACCCATATCTATATACACTTAATACCCTTATAATTAACTTAACGTTAACGTTAGTGCACTGTTTGTAGTTGTACTACGGGCTTGCAAACAAATATGGATTCAGATGTACTTCATAGCTTTTAGTTGTACTGCAGATGAAGTTGGTAAGTTGAAGTTGCTCTTTAGATGAACTTAACAAAGTGAGTTAGGATGAACGGATATGGTGTAGTTGAACTTTAAATTAATACACATTTATTAGCGTTTGTTTCATGAACATACTCTACCTGATATTTTGGATTAGTTTGGATGACTGCACAATCTGTTTTTGTAGTATGATGATAGTGTATAATTTGTAGCTGTTTTGTTCAGATATAGACTGTTTTGTAGTTTAAGTGTAAATGTAATGTATGTTACTAGATATATATTGTATAATTTGTAGCTGTGATGGAGAGATCTTCTATATATTTTGTAGTTTAAGTGTACAGTACTGTAGTGTATGTGAATTGTACTTTGGACTGATACGTTACGTATTTTTGAACTTCGTTTTGAGTTCGTTTTGAGTTTACTCAATAGAGAGGAGTTTTCCGATGGATTTAATATGGTGTACTTTAAGTGTATGTCTATTTCGCCATGTCTGTAGTTATCCTGTAGTCTCAATGTGTTCCACGACAAACTAAAAATTAGCAAATTTACTCATGTATACAAAATTATAATTGATGTGTTATTGAAACAATGCCAATTTAATCAACTAAACAACTATGAAGGGATTTTTAACAGTGCATGATAGCGTGATTAAGTCAAGTTCGATGTAGTTGCTTAGTATAAAACCATGCTGCAAATATAAGCCGAGTCCATTCGGTGCAATGATGATTTTTTTTTTAATATTTATTATTCAGGGCCAGCAAAACTTTGCCCCTTTGAACTATGCATCTTTGTGTACTACAAGTCAAACTGTTTTGTTTGTAGAATGAGGTATCACTTATAACTGGTATGTAATATTAATAACGACTCGGCAGCCTTTTGTGTGAACATCGCTGATGGTACACAGTCGGTTTTATAACTACCTGTATGGTGAATACATATGTTTTACGACTTGTATGCTTCATTAATTTTCATAGTTGTTCTATTTTTAAAGTTAATGAAAGTGTTCCTCATCTTTTTGAAAAGGAAACCAGACATTATTTAGTTGCTCAATTTGAAAATTTACTTATAAATGAAAAACACCAGAGGTAGTCACGCATTTTTTAACAGGTTGATGATACTCGTTCGGCAAGTATCAAAATATTTCAATGTGTTGAAAGTTCTACCTATTTCCCCCCCCCCCCTCCCCCCACTCCAAATGATTACAATGGTTTCTAATGGCAAAGGCGCTAGTCGTAAACAACGTTGGAACGGGATGTGCTAATCGAACGAGTATGTTACATAAGGAGATCCAATGCGAAGCAGTCGTCCTATCATAAAACATGTAATACAGGCAAACAGTTTTGAACTGGTTGTTGAAACATAGACAATGCAGAACTTAAAACTGGATTTTGAGAGATAAGTTGTAAGCTATATGTATGCCGGTTTATTTGATAAGTCGTGAAAATGAAGTGTGGTGTAGGGTTATGTCTAGTGTAGGTATAGTGAAGGTGGAAGGGTTTGGGTAGGGGGTGGGGAGAAGGCTCCGTGATACTTTGCGTTCTCAATTAATGTGTCTGGAACATTTTATAAACCGATAACCGATATGGCTCAAACCCACGAGGCCAATTGCCCTCTGTAATCTATTCGTATGTAAGCAAAAACTTGGGGCGGTGCTCTAATAATATAGCATTATTATTTTGCATTTTTTGATAATGTTGACAAATTGTAATTTAAGTCGGGCATCAAGTCCATTTAGGTTATAACGTATCTTCAAACACTAATGCGTGAGAGTAATAACAGATTTTAATCCGACAAGGTTTTCTCTAAGTAAAGCGAACATCCTATCCTGTACAAGCGCTAATACTAGTGGAAATTAGACAGTGTGTATTTCTCGCACCTCAGACAGCGATATCCCATGCTATACCCCATCCTAGACTTTTCTATCTCGTCCGATCTGTCCTGTTCCTTTACGTGACATTTCGCGGTTTTTTTACACTGCGATGTATTCATCCGCGCGTTAACGGCTTTAAATTGACAATCTGCATTATAAATGTTCTGTTTTGTCGTTATATGTATTTTTTGATGTTGTTAGATATTTGATGTTGTAGATAAAATATAATCTACACTGTGAAATACGTTGTAATCTATGTAAGGACGGACTACTTTGTTACGCGGGAGCATTCAAATGTAGCTTTAGTAGTGAAGATGTCATTATCATTTGAGGTCCAAGGCGAAATACTTGTAGTTTTGAGCAAAATGTAATAGTTCTTTTCGAACTAAAAGGTGCGAGAAAAAAAACCCAATTACCTGTAACTGTGCGAGATCAGGTTATCTCAGTCTCGGTTGGGATGTTACAGAATCTTAGCCCGAGACTGAGATAACCCGATCTCGCTCTGTTACAGGTAAACGATTGTATTAGTCATAATAATCCCACATCGGGTAAGTCTGGTCACATAATGATATCTACACAATGACAATCTTTCTCGCATATACTCAGTATAGCCTTGTACTGTCAGATTTATGGAGGTCTCCCGTTGACAACGTTAGATATGTTTCAAAAAGGATATGATATTTATACTAGATTTCGTACGATGTAGAGTATGAGATACGTTGTATGAAACACTTGCAACACGCAATAACTTGCAATGTTCATGTCAAATAAAAAAAAAACCACCCAGATAATACGATTTAAACAATCATTCGAATAGATTTCAATTAATTTGTACAAGTTAAACGGCCCTATTGTGATAAGGGTGATACGAACGTAAATAAAATGTTTGAATAATCTGTTCAGGGGGATCGACAACGTCTATCAGAACCGCTCCCACCAGAATCTGGTAAATATACTGTAAATAGGAGACAGACGAGTCACTTTACATGTATATGACTTGATATTAAAACCATCTCCAATTTTAACCAGAATGTTTGTAAAGGTAGCTAGGTTTATATGAACGACAAGGTATGTCATGATATCCCAGATAACAGACATGCGTTGGCTCAACGTTGGCCTAATGCATCAGGGTTGGTTGGGCGGGCCATCGTTGGAAAATGACGTTGGGCCACCATCTTTTTGCAAATCGGCCCAATGTTGGCTCACCATGTTGAACCAACGTCGGCCCACCATGTTGGACCAACGTCGGTCCAACAACTTCTTGATGCGGATGCAACGTTGGGCCAACGTTGTGCCAACTATAAAACTATGTTGGGTCAACGTTGGTACAATGCTGTATTTTTTTAATTTATTTTTTGGAGTTGGCTTTCCGTCCTACATGTACTAACAGCTAAGGTTTTTTAAGGACGATGTCAAGATAGACACAAGAAAAGACAGAAAGAAAGAATATGGGAAAAAAGGGAAATGAGAAATAAATAAAATGTTGGTGTCTGATAATAAGAAAACAAACAGTGATTTATATTATGTCATATCCACCCATTTTATTTTCTACTCTGGCTGATTGATAGCCAACCAAACGACCAACAGCAAACGTTGGGCCAACGTATGTCTGCTATCTAAGATCCTGTCGTTATCTTTATCAAAAGTTCTCTAGACATTTCTGTTAAAACATATGTTCTATTTTAAATTATAGTGCATTAAGAATAGGTGTGTTCCTGTGTTTAATTGTATTATACGAAGGGAATGGTATTTATATATTTCCTAAATTATGTGTTTGGTCCCTCCTGTATTGAGTTCGGATGGCTAGTCTCCTGGTTGTGTTAAATCGCGTTTGCATTTGTAGTCATCTAGTGTGCATTGAATAATTGAACAGATTGCCCAACGTTACGTGCACCCACTGTCTGAAGGTTGAAATAAGAGTAAACGCATTTCCTGTCGTAGTATGGGATTGGCTCTCAGTTTTCCGTATTCTTACTAATTGATTAATTGAAAAAATAACTTGAATGACATAACATGGCTTTAACGCGATATGAGTCACGAGGTGATGTAATGAACTATAACCGTATAACTTAGTGACAGCCTACATTAACCACAGATTGCAGCTATTTCAACCCCAGCTAAAGCTACGAAAAGCAAACACTCACAAAAAGCATAGCTCCACACATATACAGCAACTACAAAAACACAGCCCCGCAGAAACGTCAGCCAAACAGAAACTGCTACCCGGTGACAGTGGAATTATTAAGTCACCTGAGACAAAGTATCAAGTGACCTATTCTAATCGCTTTTTGGCCGTCGTCGTCCGTCCGTAAACATGAACATTTTAAACTTCTTCTCCATAACCCCTGAACCAATTTCAATGAAATTTTGCAGAAACTTTTCATAGCCAAATGTCAAACAAATTGTGAATTTTATGGTCCCAAGCCCCCAGGGGCCTGAGGGACGGG